GGAAAATTTTTAAAAAAAAAAAGGGATATTTGGGACCATTTTTTTCCGGGCCAACGTTTGAAATCAAAAAAAAAATGGGGGCCCAACTAAAAAAAATTTTTAAAAATAAACTAAACACAAAAAATTTTAAAAATCCAAATAAATTTTTAAAACAACTAAAAACAAATAACCTAAATTTAAAACAAACCCCTTTTTTTTAATAAAAAACCCTTTAAAAACCCCAAAAACCCCCAAAACACCCCCCACAACCCCCCCCCCCAAACCCCCCCCCAAAAAAAAACCCCCCCCCCCCCCCCCCCCAAACCCCCCCCCCAAAAAACCCCCCCAAAAAACCCCCCCCCCCCCCCCCCCAAAACAAAACCCCAAAAACCCCCCAAACCCAAAAAAACCAAAAACCCCCCCCCCCCCAAAAAAACCCCCCCCCCCCCCCCACCCCCCCAAAAAACCCCAAAAAAACCCCCAAACCTTTTTCCCACCCCCCAATTTTAGGTAGATACTTGGATGATGTTTTTTGGCAAAATTTTTGGGGAAACATTTTTGGGCAATGGAGTTGGTGGAAGGACTATGTTTCTCTTCTGGAAAAGTGTTTTTCTCTGGGGTGTTTAAAGATGTTAATGCCCCCCGTCTGCAGTCTAGGATGAAGTGACGAGGTTTAGTGGATTTTAAAGAAAACCCTTGTTCAATTATAGTGCATTCTTCCCCAGGAACTCTTTGCAAAAAGTTCGGGTTTAAACGCGGAAAAACCCCTATAATTACACCATATTTGGTTTTTGGGTGCCCGTGGTGAGAGTGAAGTGGGGGAAGATGGGTTTTGGTTAGGGGGTTTTTTCGATAGCCCCTTTAAAAACGAATTTTCGGGGTTCACTTTGCAGAGCAAACATCAAGGAAAGGAAGAGGTTGTGACTTTTCTTCAAGTGTGGAACTGGAATTGAAGGCTCGACCTGGTTGAGTTTTCTTGGAGGGGCTTAAAACGCTGAACCCGGTTTAGGAGTTTGGGAGAATGTCGTCAACATAACGGACCAGGGGGACAAAACGAAGGAAAAATTTGGGGGGAAAAAACCCGTTGGTTTTTCTAGAGGGTTCCTTGAAATGGGTTTTCGCCGGGGATTTGAAACTAAATTGGCGCCCCCTTTGGGAAAGTCCAAAAGTCTCCCTGAAAAAGGTGATTTTCAAAATGAAACACGTAAACCCAAACCCACATAGTTCACAAAGGTCGTTTAAAATCGCGGGCGGGAAAATGGGAAATAAAGTAAAAATCGTAAATTTTCCTTTGCCATCGATCTCTTGCGCGGGAAAAAATTGACGTTTCACTTGATTTTCCCCATTCCAGCCAGCAAATTTTCATGGGGCCTTGTTGAATATGGGGTTGGCTTTACGTGTTTTCTTTCGAAAATCCCCTCCTTCAGCAGATTTTTGGGAAACTACCCTTTGGGTTCGCCACCCCAGTGCATTTCCTGGCGAACCTTCCCAATGGAACATCTAAAAGCCAAAACGTTTTCCCCCATTTTTCCTTCGTCGGGCACCTGGCCCCGTTATGTTGACGACATTCTCCCAAAACCCTCCTAAACGCTTAAAACGTTAAGTTTCTCCAAGACAAGCTAAACCCAAATTTTTCGACCCAAAAAATCCAGTTCACACTTGAAAAAGAAGTGCCCAAAAACCCTTCCTTTCCTTGATGTTCTGTCTGAAAAGCTGACCCCCAAAACTTGTTTTAAAGTCTATGGGAAAAACCCCCCAAACCCAAAAACCCGATTTCTCCACTTCAAAACCCCCACCACGACACCAAAAACCCAACTGGTTAATTATAGGCTTTTTCCCTGCTTTGCACTCAAATTTGCAGCAACAAGTTCCTTGAGGAAGAATGAACTATAATTGACAAAGTGTTTTTTTAAACTCCACTATCTTGTCACTTCATCAGAGATGCAGAGGGGGGCATTAAGCATCTTAAACACACCCAAGAAGAAAACTGCCGAGAAGAGATACATAGTCCTTTCCCCACCAACTCCATTGCCAAACATGTTTCCAACACTTTGCCAAAACTTTCTTTCCCAAGTATCTACCCCCACAACCACGCCCATAAAGGGACATCACCAGAAAGTAAAAACAGGACAAGCCTCCACCCTCCCCAGGTTTTAATACATAATTCCCTTGAAAATAAACTGCAAAAAAAATTTATGTGGGCAAAACCCTCAAAGACCCAAACAGGGTTTTCAGAAACCAATATGCAAGGGAAGGGCTGAGATACAAGGAATGCCTGGGTACAACATCGCAATTCACACAACCATTTAATTAACTACAGAAAATCAAGACTTATTGCCACAGAAAACAACCTCAATACAGAAGGGGGCCTGGAATTTATCGCTTATCTCTAAAAACCAACAATTTTCCCAACCCGAAAAAATGGCTTCTTAACATAGCTGAACCACTCGCCCCAAAAAACTTCTTCAATTTCTATCCCACATAAGAACAAAAAGAACACTGCAGAAGGTCTACTTTACAACTTGTCCAAAACCCCCCGCCTAGCTAAACCCCCACTCCCAAAAACCCCACCCGGGAGATCATCAGATGCACATTCTCCACCCGACCACAACATTCGAAAAATGACTATAAATTCCCCCACCCTTTCCCAACCCCCGGGAGATCCGTGTTTTGACTTGAAAAAGGCCCCCTGTGTGGGGGAAACGTTGTCAAAAAAGGGTCACATTTTACTGCAATTTTTTGTTTTTTATTTCCATTTTGTCGGTAAATTTTTTTACCATTTATTTTCCCCCTATATAACCCATTTTTTTTGGGAAAAAAAAAAACTGAAGATGGACCCCAAAGGCATAGTTTTAAATCCTAAAATTAAAAGGGGGGGCATAACTTTTTTATATTTGCAGACTAAAAAAAAGATTAATGGAAAACTATTTTAGTGGCACCAAAATTTAATTTTACATTTGTATCTCAACAAACCCCTAAACCCCAAAATAAAACCCCCTTTTTCTGGCCTCAAAATGTGTCCATTGTATGAGGAAAAATCATTAAAAAAAGAATTTTTACTTTAACTCCTAAATAAGGGCCCGACAAGAGGGCCCAACCTGTATTAATTTTTTTTACAGTCCTACATGAAAGTTCATATTCCTTTTATTACTGTTGTTTAAAAAAACATCTGCAATTCAGGAAAAAAGTTTTTGGGAAAACAATGCTCTCACAAAAAAGTCCTACAAAAATTTAAAACCCTCCCTTTATTTTAAAACATTTTTAAGGGTTTTCTCCCTTGGGTTAAAATGCTTTTTTTCATTTTTCCCCTTACAATAAAATTTTAATTTTTTTTTTCCCGAAAAAGTGGTGGTAGTAGTTGTGGTGGTGGGGGTGGAAGCCCGGCTCTGTGGTGGGGGCTGGGTGAGGTTTTTGTGGAGAAGGGCAATGTAAAGGCCCCTTCACGCCCACTTCTTGTAAAAGGAAATGCGTTGAAAACCAAAATATAAACATGGGGACAAAGCCCAAAGAAAGAAGCCACAGCAAAAGCATCTCCAGCCCCGGAAAAAACAAGGGGAAGGAAGGGTTTCTATCTGGTTAGTACATGGTTGGGCTTACATCAATAATTTTCAGCCCCCAACAAGGCACCCGTGCAAATAAATAAATTAAGTAAAATCCCCCCCCCCCCCCCCCCCAGAGGCTACACAAATTTTCAAAATGTAAAATTAAGTCCAAAAAAGGGGCAGCAGAGTCATTGGGGGAGTGGGTTTGGTTAGAGTAACAAAATTGCAAATATAATTAATCTTAACAGGCTTAGTTATAAACCCACCAAAAAGCTCCATTTTGAAAATCGAGTTAAATCAATCAATGATTCAAAAATTTTTTAAATTTTTAAATTTCATACTTGAAATTTTTAGGTTTTAAGGGGTATTATCCTACCTAAGCTCATTCCAGAGCCCAAACCCCACCTAATGTATATTAAAAACCCCCCTAGACTGCAACCCCCAATTTTTCTCAAATAACATCCAGGTACCTACTTAATGTAGGAAAAAGGAACCGGGTTTTAAGGGAAACCCTGGGCCCCTTTCCACTAAGGGGGAGGGGTCACTCTCAAACCAAATTGCCTATTTAGCCCCATCCTCAACGTGGGGGAAAACAAAGTTGATTTTAACATTCCCAAGCTTCCCAAATGCCTCCCAGCAGGGCATCTGATCTATTTTAATAAACTGCTTTCTGTGAAATAAATATAAGCTTTCTAGGGGTTTTTGTAAAAAAATCCTACCCAAGAAACAAAAAAAAAAAAAATATTTTCTCTAGACAGAAAAATTTTAGGAACTGACAATGGGTAATGCATTTGGGGGAAAAAATAGTGTAAGATAAGTTGGGGGTTTTATGTTCTGGTTTTTTAAAATGAGACACTGCCAATTTTATTACTATTTTTTTCTTCCTCTTTTATTATTATTTGCTGCCCTGGGGAAAAGGGAAAGGGAATCAGTTTTTATCAAGAGCCCCCTTTCCAGCTTCAGGGGGGCCTCATTGAAGGAAAAAGGGGAAATGCCACAAAATTGTTGGGTTTTTTACAAACATTACACCACATAAAAAGTTCTTTTTTCTTCTTTCAAAAACAACCGGGGCCCTTTTCCCACCGAGGCGGGGGGGCCCAAAAAAAAAAATGAAATTTTTTTCCTTTTTCATTTAAGGGAATATATACAGGAAAAAGAGGTTACTGCCCTTAAATCCCGCATTTTAAAAGGCCTCTTACCAAAAACGCATGGCTTACGGAGGAAAAATTTTGTTTTCCCCCTTCCCCATGGAAAAAAGAGGGAAAAAAAACAAGATTTAAAAACTAGAAAGAAAAAAAGAAAAAAACCCAAAGGGGGGTGTAAATAATGTTTGTAATGCATGTGTAGTGTGAACCTAAGTGTAAGCAAAAAGGGAGCAAAAACGTACCTGGGAAAACTTGCATGTTATGAGAAAGAAAAAAAGGACACCAGCAATCCTACCATCATGTAAAACAATTACAGGCTTTCATTTTACACTCACTTGGCAGGACGGTAGTACCTCCCTGGGTGGTTGCTGTCTACCAACCTACTACCTATACGATAACAGTTGTTGTTACTAAATGACACAACATAACTTTTATCAACTCAAAGCTGAACAAAGCACTGTATTTTCTTTGCTTGTAAATATACTACCACAAAAGAATTTACCTAAAATATTATAGTTTACTGGACTTAGGTTTGACCAACCATGATATTATCAGTACAGTATATCAAAAGTAGCAGGACATGCTGTTTAAAGGGTAACTGTTTTGCTGAAATTACCTGGTTTCTTTATTTCAGCCTCACATTTATATTCTATACACAAGACCTACCTCTAAAGAGGAGTCTGTGGTGCAGAATGTTTGATTTTATTACATGATGACTACACCTTTGAACTAAATAATTTTTAAGTTTCATCATTTGTAGCTTTATAAATCTGTAGTGGAGGGAAGGCAGGGTAGGGGTTGGCCTAGGAAAGGTTGGAGGGAGGGGGGTAAAGGAGGTTCTGTGTGTATGTAAAGGAGGTTCTGTGTGTGTGTGTGTGTGAGGGGCTCAGACTTCCAGTGTGCATGAGCATGTAGGAGCAAATGGAGGCAAATGGTGTTGGAGTGTAAGCAAGGTAACATTTATGAAGGGATTCAGGGAAACTGGCATGCCAGGCTTGATTCCTGGAGATGGGATGTACAGTGCCTGCACTCTGAAGGATGGGTGTTAGTGCTGCAGTTTTATAACTAAGTGTAAGCATGCCTCTGGCAAGACAGTGATGGAGTGAATGGTGATGGAAATTTTTCTTTTTGGGGCCACCCTGCCTTGGTGGGAAATGGCCGATGTGTTAGTAAAATAAAAATAATAAATTATCTGTAGAGGCATGTAATTTGTTCCTTGTTTCAGATACCACTCGAAGGGTTCGCTAAATACATCCAACTGATATCATCCGATTGGATCAAAGTAATAAGAGCACCTATTGACTGCTTTCACTGTGGTTGTCCTGCATATTTCGCATCACCTATTTTTATAATTACAGTCATGCACTGCATAATGATGTTTCGATCAACAATTGACCACATATGCAATGGTGGTTCCATGCGTTGCCAGTCGTATAAAAGTATGCATAGCACATACAATTATGTACAGTACATAATACTTGATAATAACAAACAACTATGTTACTGTTTTATGTATTCACTATACATACTGTTCTTTTTATTGTTATTCTAGGGTGTACTCTTTCTATTTATAAAAAAATTTACTGTAAAACTGTATGCCATGTTATGCTGGCAGCCGCCTCCTACATCATATGATGTTCACATAATGACGAAATCACCTAACAACGCATTTCTCAGAACGTATCCCCATTTTTTAACACTCCAGCTGTCTCCCACTGAGGTAGAGTGACCTAACAAAGAAAAAACACTTTCACTATCACTCATTCATTCACTGTCTCGTCAGAAGGGTGCTGAAATCACAGTTTCGATGACCCTCCAAATTGCAACATCCCTTCCCTTCTTCCTGAGTGTAGAACTTAAGTCTGGCTAATTGGTTCCTCTGAATCCCTTCATGTTAAATTGCTCACACTCTAACATTGATATAAAATATATTTATTTTTCTAGTCTTACATCTATGACTCAATATTATCTTAAGATTAAGATGTTCATTTTGACATGATACATGGTTGTACAGAGGAATATAATAGTTAGGGGTACATGCCAAAAGCCCCTTTGCATACAGAGCATTTCAGGCAAAATTAAAGATTAACTTAAGATTAAGAAGGCAATAATAGTTCATATGGTCATTAGATGAGTTACAGTAAGTACAAGAGAATTGAATATTCTATTAGGTAATGCTACATGCCTTTGATAAGACTAGTAGAGAATTATTACACTATTGAATTGGTTTATAAAGATTACAGTATTACAATGGAACAAGTTAAAGCAATTACAGCTTAGTACTATGTAAAACAATGAAATTTGGCATTACAATGGAACAATTTAAAAAAATTTACATTGTGATGTATTACACTTTAGTACTATTTAAAGCAATGAATTTAGACATCCTAATTTTAAAGTAGTGAGTAAGTGGTTAAACATTTATCAGCACAATGTGAGTAGCTTTTGAGTAATTGGTAGTGATTAGATATAGTTTGTCTGGTTAATTTTGTGTGATGAGGTGATTTCTTAGTAGGGCCTTAAACTGATTTGCAGACAGGGGTCCTTTAGAGTGTTCTGGCAATGAATTCCAGATCTTCGGGCCTTTTGCGTGCATAGTATTTTTTGCATAGGGAGAGATGGACACAAGGGATACCGCTGCAGCAGTGACCTCCAGGATTCTTTTAAGAAAAAAATTTGGAGTGAGATAAACAAGTTAAGAAAGATTAGGGAACGAATGGATTTGTCAGAGTAGGGGAGTTAGTAGATGGAGAGCTGGAGTTATTAGAAAGATGGTGGGAATATTTTGAGGAACTTTTAAATGTTGATAAAGAAAGAGAGGCAGTAATTTCATGCACTGGCCAGGGAAGTATAACATCTTTTAGGAGTGAAGAAGAGCAGAATGTGAGTGTGGGGGAGGTGCGTGAGGCATTAAGTAGAATGAAAGTGGATAAAGCAGCTGGAACTGACAGGATCATGACAGAAATGTTAAAAGCAGGGAAGGATACAGTGTTGGAGTGGTTGGTATTTTTGTTTAATAAATGCATGAAAGAGGGGAAGGTACCTAGGGATTGGAAGAGAGCATGCATAGTTCCTTTATATAAAGGGAAGGGGGACAAAAGAGATTGTAAAAATTATAGGGGAATAAGTTTACTGAGTATACCAGGAAAAGTGTAAGGTAGGGTTATTATTGAAAGAATTAAAGTTAAGACAGAGAGTAAGATTGCAGATGAGCAAGGAGGCTTTAGAGTGGGTAGGGTATGTATAGATCAAGTGTTTACATTGAAGCATATATGTGAACAGAAATTTAGATAAAGGTAGGGAAGTTTTCATTGCATATATGGATTTAGAAAAGGCATATGATAGAGTGGATAGGGGAGCAATGTGGCAGATGTTGTGAGTATATGGAATAGGTATTAAGTTACTAAATGCTGGCCTGGTGGCTAAAGCTCCCACTTCACACCACGGAGGGCCCGGGTTCGATTCCTGGCGGGTGGAAACATTTCGACAAGTTTCCTTACACCTGTTGTCCTGTTCACCTAGCAGTAAATAGGTACCTGGGTGTTAGTCGACTGATGTGGGTCGCATCTGGGGGACAAGATTGAGGATCCAATGGAAATAAGTTAGACAGTCCTCGATGACCACACTGACTTTCTTGGGTTATCCTGGGTGACTAACCCTCCGGGGTTAAAAATCCGAACGAAATCTTATCTTATCTTAGAATTTTTATGAGGATAGTGAGGCTCAGGTTAGGGTGTGTATAAGAGAGGGAGATTAGTTCCCGGTAAAAATAGGTCTTAGACAAGGATGTGTAATGTTACCATGGTTGTTTAATATATTTATAGATGGGGTGGTAAAAGAAGTACAGTGGACCCTCGGTTAACGATATTTTTTCATTCCAGAAGTATGTTCAGGTGCCAGTACTGACCAAATTTATTCCCATAAGGAATATTGTGAAGTAGATTAGTCCATTTCAGACCCCCAAACATACACGTACAAACGCACTTACATAAATACACTTACATAATTGGTCGCATTGGGAGGTGATCGTTAAGGGCGGGGGTCCCCTGTAAATGCTAGGGTGTTGGGGAGAGAGGTGGGATTAAATTATAAAGAATTAAATATAAAATGGGAGCTGACACAGATACTTTTTTGCTGATGATACTGTGCTTATGGGAGATTCTAAAGAGAAGTTGCAAAGGTTAATGGATGAGTTTGGGAGGGTGTTGTAAAGGTAGAAAGTTGAAAGTGAACATAGATGAGAGTAAGGTGACGAGGGTATCAAATTATTTAGATAAAGAAAAATGGGATATCACATTGGAAAGAGGGAATATGGAAGAAGTGAATGTTTTCAGATATTTGGGTGTTGACTTGTCACCCAGATGGGTTTATGAAGGATGAGGTTAACTATAGAATTGGTGAAGGAAAAAAGGTGAGTGGTGCATTAAGGTATATGTGGAGACAAAAAAAGTTATCTATGTAAAAAGAAGAATGTATGAATATAGTGGTTCCCACACTCGCTATATAGGATGAAGCTTGGGTGCATGAAGAGGCGAGGATTGGTTTGGGGTCATTTGAGAGGTGTGTACTAAGGGCAAATTTTAGGTGAAATATTAAGAGAAGTTAGAGGTAAAATTAAGTATTAGTGAGGTGAAGAGGAATTTCTCAGATTGGTTAGGTCAGTAGGAGATGGTAACGAAGAATTTGGAGTGGCGTATCATCTGTAGGGATGAAAGGTGGGAGGGGATCCCTAGAAATGGGTAGAGAGGAGAGGTAACTAGGAGTCTGTGGAGAGAGGTTTGGACTTGAGCAAATGTGGTGAGATGTAATAGGAGAGTGATGGAGACGATTTTTGACGTGCGTTGTTGGAGTGTGAGCAGGGTAATAATTTTTTTGCGAGGGATCTTAGGAGATGAGGGTTGAAGGTAAATTGTTTGGGTGGTAAATATATAATTTCAGCTGTGGAAAAGGGAATGGATGGGCCGCCATTCCAAAACGTGTTTCCGAGGCCTGAGATAGTGCTATACGCGAGTTGGGACATGCAGAGAGTCTCACGCCGATTTTAGCATTACCTCAAGATGTCATACTGTAAGGCCTAAGGGTCTTAAAGGCGCTGGATAGTGTTGAGGATACGCTATAAAGGTATAAGGGTCGCACTATGGCTGACATAGTCCAGGATCAGGAACGTATTTTTATGTAGCCGGACTTGAGTACTGGAAATGGGAAGTACAATACCTGCACTTGAAAGGAGGGGTTTGGGATACTGGCAGTTTGAAGGGGTATGTTATATGTGTATATCTTTATATATGCTTCTAAACTGTTATATCTGGGCGCCTCTGCAAAGACAGTGATTATGTGTGAGTGAGGTGAAAGTGTTGAATGATGAAATTTTTTTCTTTTTGGGTCACCCTGCCTCGGTGGGAGACAGCCAACTTGTTGAAAAAAAAAATTATGGTTGTGTGTTCTGTTATCGTTATCAAGAAGTTTGAGACGAGGGTTAACATTTGAGTATAGTGCTCTGTGTATGTAGTAGGCACAATAATAAGCATGAATGTTTTGTATATTAAGCAAGTTAAGACTCTTGAAAAGAGGTGGAGTGTGTTTTCTAATGCAGGAGTTAGTAATCAATTGCTCTGTACCTTTTTGTTGGGTTATTAAAGGCTTAAGATAATTTGCTGTGGTTGAGCCCCATGCACAAATACCATAGGTGAGGTAAGGGTAAATGAGAGAGCGGTACAAAGCTAGAAGAGTTGATTGGGGTACATAGTACTGTATATTTGAAAGGATGCCTACTGTTTTGGAGACTTAGATGGAAATTTGCTGTGTGTGTGTGTCTGAAATCTTGCTTCTATATAACATCCAACATTGTCCAAAATGAAATAACATAAGCAGTTATGCAGTGCTGGAACTCAATTTGTGAAAACATATTTATTTTGCATATTTTGCAGTCCTTGAGTATATATCCTGTATTATTTTGTATTGCTGTACCTGTTAAAATTTTATAGTTGGTAATTAGGTAAGTGATAACAGTCAGAGAGTGCAAGAGAGAGTAGGATGTCAAGACTCACCTTTTCACTGCATAGTCAGCAGCAACACAGCCACAAACAAACCAGAAGAATGTCCATATGACTGTGTAGCCAAGTTCCTGCAGATTTAATACATTTGTTACTAAAGAAATATTTCAGTTTTATTCAGCAAACAGTATTGTTACAATTACATACTTTTTATGAAAGGATTGAAAATATTAATTCCCATTTTATGAACAGTTATTGGTAAGCTTTAAGTGGGGAACAGACTTCTTTATATTTCAATGTGATGTACAGGGTTGATGATTTCCTTCATTACAAATTAGGGATAATAAATGTATGGATGAAGGTAAGGTACCTAGGGATTGGCAGAGAGCATGCATAGTTCCTTTGTATAAAGGCAAAGGGGACAAAAGAGAGTGCAAAAATTATAGGGGGATAAGTCTGTTGAGTATACCTGGTAAAGTGTATGGTAGAGTTATTATTGAAAGAATTAAGAGTAAGACGGAGAATAGGATAGCAGATGAACAAGGAGGCTTTAGGAAAGGTAGGGGGTGTGTGGACCAGGTGTTTACAGTGAAACATATAAGTGAACAGTATTTATATAAGGCTAAAGAGGTCTTTGTGGCACTTATGGATTTGGAAAAGGCATATGACAGGGTGGATAGGGGGGCAATGTGGCAGATGCTGCAGGTGTATGGTATAGGAGGTAGGTTACTGAAAGCAGTGAAGAGTTTTTACGAGGATAGTGAGGCTCAAGTTAGAGTATGTAGGAAAGAGGGAAATTATTTCCCAGTAAAAGTAGGCCTTAGACAAGGATGTGTGATGTCACCGTGGTTGTTTAATATATTTATAGATGGGGCTGTAAGAGAAGTAAATGAGAGGGTCTTGGCAAGAGGCGTGGAGTTAAAAGATAAAGAATCACACATAAAGTGGAAGTTGTCACAGTTGCTCTTTGCTGATGACACTGTGCTCTTGGGAGATTCTGAAGAGAAGTTGCAGAGATTGGTGGATGAATTTGGTAGGGTATACAAAAGAAGAAAATTAAAAGTGAATACAGAAAAGAGTAAGGTTATGAGGATAACAAAAAGATTAGGTGATGAAAGATTGGATATCAGATTGGAGGGAGAGAGTATGGAGGAGGTGAATGTATTCAGATATTTGGGAGTGGACGTGTCAGCGGATGGGTCTATGAAAGATGAGGTGAATCATAGAATTGATGAGGGGAAAAGGGTGAGTGGTGCACTTAGGAGTCTGTGGAGACAAAGAACTTTGTCCTTGGAGGCAAAGAGGGGAATGTATAAGAGTATAGTTTTACCCAACACTCTTATATGGGTGTGAAGCATGGGTGATGAATGTTCCAGTGAGGAGAAGGCTGGAGGCAGTGGAGATGTCATGTCTGAGGACAATGTGTGGTGTGAATATAATGCAGAGAATTTGCAGTTTGGAAGTTAGGAGGAGGTGCGGGATTACCAAAACTGTTGTCCAGAGGGCTGAGGAAGGGTTGTTGAGGTGGTTCGGACATGTAGAGAGAATGGAGCGAAACAGAGTGACTTCAAGAGTGTATCAGTCTGTAGTGGAAGGAAGGCGGGGTAGGGGTCGGCCTAGGAAAGGTTGGAGGGAGGGGGTAAAGGAGGTTTTGTGTGTGAGGAGCTTGGACTTCCAGCAGGCATGCGTGAGCGTGTTTGATAGGAGTGAATGGAGACAAATGGTTTTAAATACTTGACGTGCTGTTGGAGTGTGAGCGAAGTAACATTTATGAAGGGATTCAGGGAAACCGGCAGGCCGGACTTGAGTCCTGGAGATGGGAAGTACAGTGCCTGCACTCTGAAGGAGGGGTGTTAATGTTGCAGTTTAAAAACTGTAGTGTAAAGCACCCTTCTGGCAAGACAGTGATGGAGTGAATGATGGTGAAAGTTTTTCTTTTTCGGGCCACCCTGCCTTGGTGGGAATCGGCCAGTGTGTTAATAATAAAAAAAAATATTTTGGATGATTGAGGGTAAATTTATTTTGGGGCATCAGCAGTAACAGCCTGGTTGATCAGACCCTGATCCACCATGAGACCTGGTCTCAGACCAGGTCCCGGGGGCATTGACCACCGAAACTCTCTCCAGGAAAACCTCATTAGCTGGACTGATTTGGGTAGAGAGTAGAATTAGCCCTATTTAGTGGCCTGACCTCTGTGATCTTTGATAAGAATTCCTGATTACAAATTACTGTATCATGTTTAAATTAAATTTTCCATCAGACAAATTGAGGTTGGCATATGATTCAGTATAATTAGATTTCATAAATTGTCATTTTACAGTATGTACTATAAATCTGAGGATAAAAGCAGTTTGTAACTACACTATTGACAAATGATACATGTTATTTCTACTAAGTATGGTTTACACTTGATTCAGAAAAAGATGACATGAAAATTTTGCAAACAATTTATGGAGGTTATTACAAATATTGGACAAATACAAATGCAACTACTAATCTCAATTTCAGTATTATTGAAGACATACAGTAAACTGAAAGCCCACAGTCAACACAACAAAAGAGGTATCCAAATCAGTTGGCATCCTCTCTATGATATGTTACTATGCGAGTCAAACAGCACTACTTATATTGTATTACTCTAATCTATCCTTACCTCACACTATTTGTGCCTGGGGATCTACTGCAGGAAATCACCTAAAGCCAATAATAACTCAACAAAAAGTGGCAGTATAAATGATCAGCCAGTCTAGTGCCAAGCAACACACTCCCACACTCTTCAAAAAGCCTAAACTTACTTAATATACATAAAATTCACTCATACTCCTGTGCATACTACATATATACAACAATCAACTTTTAATATTAATCTTGCCCTGAAACTCTTTCATGATAGCTACTCAAGAAGTCATAGGCATAATACTAGACACAAAAATCTATGATACTGTATTCTCCCTGTCTAATTCAATTTGTGTAAAAACTCAATGTGCATAAATGAACCTAAAATCTGGAGCTCTTTGCCTGAAGATTCCAGAGATTCCCTGTCTGCCAGCTGCTTCAAAGGTACTGTTAAAAGGCATGTCCTTACCTTAATGTGATCCAAACAACAATTTTATATGCCAAACAAATCCTGAAATCCTGTCTTTCATCCAATATTATCTCTGTTCTTGTTCCATCCTTCCTTCAACTCTCATTTATTACTGGATAGGTATATACATGTATTGCCCCATCACATTTTGTATTAATTCAGGTAACTAACTTCATCCTTATTGTAATTTTTATTGGAGTTTTATTTTGAATTGCTTAATACCTTTAATATATATACTAGTATAAACTAAATATTCTTATTCCCATGTACACCTTGTTGTGATTTTATCTGCTGCATATACATTTAAGTCATTCTCAATTAATTTATTTTACTGTGGCTCATTAATATCTTATATACATATTTTTTCTTTCTTTCAACACACCGAGGTGGGGTGGCCCAAAAGGAAAAATGAAAGTTTCTCCTGTTACATTTAGTAATATATACAGGAGAAGGGGTTACTAGCCCCTTGCTCCTGGCATTTTAGTCGCCTCTTACAACATGCATGGCTTACGGAGGAAGAATTCTGTTCCACTTCCTCATGGAGGTAAGAGGAAATAAACAAGAACAAGAACTAGAAAGAAAATAGAAGAAAACCCAGAGGGGTGTGTATATATATGCTTGTACATGTATGTGTAGTGTGACCTAAGTGTAAGTAGAAGTAGCAAGACGTACCTGAAATCTTGCATGTGTACAAAACAAAAAAAAAGACACCAGCAATCCTACCATCGTGTAAAACAATTACAGGCTTCTGTTTTACACTCACCTGGCAGGACGGTAGTACCTCCCTGGGTGGTTCCTGTCTACCAACCTACTACCTAGGCTTATATATATATATGTATGTAAAATACTATCTCATCACATTTGTAATAATTCAATGTGTGTTTACATATCATAATATGACTGAAGCAAAGAAAGCCACTATCATGCCGAGACATTTCGGGCAGACTTAACCTAAAACATGTACTTATAGACTACTTAAGTCTAAACAGGTGAAGAATGGTTGAATACAAATAGTCAATATTCATTCTATTGTTAATATGAGGTAGTACAATTTATGACAATCTTACATTTTTAAGTATGTAATTAAGTTATTATACAGTGGTAGAATACAAATACGTATTCTATATTTCAGGTGCAGTGAGGTACTGTGCTTACCAGCATTAGCCAGGGTATGATGGACAAGAGTGCCACTATATTGATTAAAAAGAGGAAGAGAAGTACTGCAGAGGTCCAGAAGCCACCCATAGACACAAAGCTTAACCAGTTGGCTGGGTTGCTGCGAGGAAAGTTTGAGGCCATGGTACAGATGAATACCACAATACAAATCACCTGTAAGAAATCAAACTCTCAGTGAATTATTTAAGTCCATTATGTAACATAATTTAAAGTGTTTATTGCTCAATCATTACTAACATTATTACTACAATATACATAGAAACTGAATTTCTTCTTTGAAGAATCAAAAGTCAATGTTCAAATCTTAGCTAATATAATTTGCAACAAAATATACAAATGTCTAGTACACAAATATTTTCTTAAAACTTTAGGGAAAATAATTTACACATAGAAAATATAAAATTGCATGAGAGTATTATATGAATATATCATCCAACATATGACGAATGCATCTTTAATGCAGTATAATACTGTCTGTAATTAAAAATATATCTGCAAATTTAGTTTTCAGAATAATACAGTAAGTGTAAACTTGCTGGTCCTGCTGCTACAGAGCATTCATCATCCTGGCTGCCCCCACCCTCACTAGGACCACAACTCACCAGGTGAGCACACTTGAGGCGGCCTTCATTGGTATGCAGGTAACCACTGTTGATATAGATACGTTTATTGTCATTGTTGTCTTGTGGTGCTGTTGTTGTTGTGTGTGATGCTGGGAACTGGGCTTCCATCTGTGGGGAATAACACACCAGTTTACAAGATGTCATATCTATGTACTTAACACCTATATCAGGTATATACATACAAGCCCTGCATCATGTGACAGTTCCACCATGTGTTAGTATAATATCTTTAGAATATGACACCTGCATTATAAGCTACTTGCACATGTGAATGTGTGCAATAATTTTGAAAATTACCTTTTAAAATATTAGTAAACAGCGAGTTCTTAGCAAAGGGTAAGGCTGAGTTCACATGGTCATCCATGCAGTCACTGGCCAGACCAAACATTATTTAGTCTATCTGGCTAAGCAACATATATTATCCACAGTTATGGGAACCAAATACTTGGGCATGGGATTTAATCTTTGACCAATCTGTCATTTTTATGTATGTAATAAATATGATAAAATCCTTATGATTTTTTTTTTAGCTGTTCTGTTCCTAGCTATCCATGTGAAAGTAAAAACCAAGCTATTAACATCTTTTGAAGTCAAAACTGGTACCTTAGGTACTAGTATGACTTCAAAAGTTACCTGTTATAGGACTGGTGATGATGATATGATTTCAACAGTTTGGCAAAGGGGGTATGGGGACTTATCGGGCAATCCACTGGGGCCCTGTAATCGTGAATAGGTTAAGAACCCCTGGGGTGGAATAGCTTCACTGAAGTTTTTAAATTTCATTGTGAGGCTTGATGAAGTTCCTAGCAAGCAAGCAGAGTCACTTGTTTGTACAGAACTGTTTAAATGCCTCAAATGATGTTGTGGAAGTTTTAGCAGTAAAGGTCGAGAACGAAAACCTAGTCATTGTGGTAGCCCTACAAGCCTCCGGATGCAACATCCCAGCAATTATAGGAACAGCTGTTAAAAAATTGACCACTGTCTGGAAAATCTTCCAGCCCCTTTAAACTACTGCTAACTACGGGGAACGCTTGAAAGCACTTGACTTGTACTCGTTGGAACGCAGGAGGGAGAGATATATCATAATCTACACTTGGAAAATCTTGGAAGGAATGGTCCCAAATCTGCACACAGAAATCACTCCCTACGAAAGTAAAAAACTGGGCAGCGATGCAAAATGCCGCCAATAAAAAGTAGGGCGCCATTGGTACACAAAAAGAAAACACCATAAGTGTCCGGGGCCCAAAACTGTTCAACAGCCTCCCATCAAGCATTAGGGGAATTGCCAATAAACCCCTGGCTGCCTTCAAGAGAAAGCTGGACAGATACCTAAAGTCAGTGCTGGGTCAGCCGGGCTTGTGCTCGTACGTCGGGCTGCTTTCGGCCAGCAGTAACCCGCCTAGTTGATCAGGCCCTGATCCATCGGGAAAGGCCTGGTCGTGGACCGGGGCCCCGGGGGCGTTTTATCCCCGGAATAACCTCCAGGTAACCTCCAGGTAACCTCCTGCACCCAACATCTTCCTCCGGGGGGTTTCAACTTAAGGCACCTAAAATGGAGGAATATAGCAAATAATATTGTTGCAGTAATAACACCAGGGGGCAGCTCTGATGAAAACTCCACTCACACAGCTTTAAATCTCTGCAAAAAAATTCAATTTAAACCAGCACTCGTGTAACACAAGGCTTATTCCTCTAAGAAAAAGGAGGAGTAGATGTAAAATAGAAAGAGACAGGCGTTCCCTTTTACAGGCAACGAAAAGAATAACAGAGTGGCTAAAAAGGCAATATATCTGAAATGCTAGGGAGACACTGGTCAGAGAAATAGCAACATCGAACTTAGCTAAAGGAATCTTATAGGAGTAAGGAATCGCGGAAGAACTAAAAGCCATAAATGAAATCGAAAGAAACCCAAAGTATTTCTTCTCCTATGCCAAATCAAAGTCGAAACAATGTCCAGTATTGGGCCCCTATTTAAAAACAAGATGGATCCTACACAGATACAGCAAGGAAATGAGTGAGCTACTAAAGTCCCAATATGACTCATTTTTTTAGCAAGCCGCTAACCAGACTGAGAGTCGAAGATCAAAAAGAATTTTTTATGAAAAGAGCCACAAAATTTGGTTAACACAAGCCAATCCGATGTTATCCTGATCCCAAAAAGACTTCAAACAGGCGATAAATGACATGCCCATGCACTCTGCCCCAGGGCCAGACTCAGGGAAACCCTCCGGTTCAACAAGAACGCAAGAAGCCCCTATACGAGCCTTTTTCCATCCTATGAGAGGGAGCATGGACACGGGGTCGTCCCACAGTTACTAAAAAACAGACATACCCCCACTCCACAAAGGGGCAGTAAAGCAACAGCAAAGAACTACAGACCGATAGCACTAACATCCCAAAATCATAAAAATTTTTGAAAGGGTCCTAAGAAGCAAATCACCACCCATCTAGAAACCCATCATACACAACCCAGGGCAACAGGGTTTAGAACAGGTTGCTCCTGTCTGTCTCAACTATTGGATCACTACGACAAGGTCCTAAAATGCACTAGAAGACAAAAGAATGCAGATGTAATATATACAGACTTGCAAAAGCCTTCGACAAGGGGTGACCTGGCGTAATAGCGCACAAAATGCGTGCTAAAGCAAAAGGAAAATCGGTCGATGGATCTATAATTTCCTCACTAACAGAACACAGAGAGTAGTCCGTCAACAGAGTAAAGTCTGAGGCAGCTACGTGAAAAGCTCTGTTCCACAAGGCACAGAAACTCGCTCCATCCTTGTTCCTCATCCTCATATCCGACATAGACAAGGATGTCACCACAGCACCGTGTCTTCCTTTGCAGATGACACCCGAACCCTGCACGAGGTGTCTTCCATTGCAGACACTGCAAGGCTCCAGGCGGACATCAACCAAATCTTTCAGTGGGCGCAGAAACAATATGAATTCAACGATGAGAAATTTCAATTACTCAGATATGGTAAACACAAGGAAATTAAATCTTCATCAAGTACAAAACAAATTTTTGGCCACAAAATAGAGCGAAACACCAACGTCAAAGACCTGGGGGTGATCATGTCGGAGGATCCACCTTCAAGACCATAAGATTGTATCAATTGCATCTGCTAGAAAAATGACAGGATGGATAATGGAAACCTTCAAAACTAGGGAGGCCAAGCCCCTGAAGACACTCTTCAGGTCACTTGTTCTATCTAGGCTGGAATATTGCTGCAAAACTAACAGCACCTTTCAAGGCAGTGAAATTGCTGACCCCAGAAAATGTACAGAAACCTTCACGGCGCGCATAACGGAGATAAAACATCTCAATTACTGGAGCACTTGAGGTTCCTAAACCTGTATTCCCTGGAATGCAGGCGGGAGAGATACATGAATATATACACCTGGAAAATCCTAGAGGGACTAGTAACCGAACTTGCACACGAAAAAACACCCCACTACGAAAGCAAAAGACTTGGCAGACGATGCAAAAATCCCCAATAAAAGCAGGGGTGTCACTAGCACGTTAAGAGACCATACAATAAGTGTCAGGGGCCCGAGACTGTTCAACTGCCTCCCAGCATACATAAGGGGATTACCAACAACCCCTGGCAAATCTTCAAGCTGGCACTGGGCAAGCACCTAAAGTCGGTTTTCCCGGCCAGCCGGGCTGTGGCTTGTACGTTGGTTTGCATGCAGCCAGCAGCAACAGCCTGGTTTTAAACAGGCTCTGATCCACCAGGAGGCCTGGTCACAGACTGGGCCACGGGGCGTTGACCCCTGAACTCCCCTCCAGGTAAAACTCCAGGTAAGCTCTAATAAAATTTCCTATAGCTTGATTGCTAGCGCACTTAGCTCACGCACTGAGGTCCAAGGTTTAATTCCCAGTACTGGTGAAAACATTAGGACATGTTTTCTTAAGACACGTGCTGTCCATGTTCACCTATCAGTAAAACAGGTACCTGGGTGTTAGTCAACTGGTGTGGGTTACATCCTGGGGACAAAACTGACCTAATCTGCCCGAAATGCTCTGCATAACAAGGGGCTATCTACAGTGTCACTGATGTCAGCTAGGCCTGTATACCTTGTACATGTCTTATAGAAATAAAGATTATTAATTATCAAATTTGATATTGTTGATATTTCTGTACTCATTAATTTATTAATTTTGATATTGTTGATATTTCTGTACTCATTATTTTGATTAGATCAAGTATGGAAAATTTTCTAGGGTGCTTACCTGTATGTACCTCAACATTATATACATACCAGTAATCTCATTGGGAGACAATCATATTGTTTACCGAGTCCCCCCGGTAGACATGTGAAAAAAATTTAAACCCAAATTTCTGGTCGCGGCGGGGGGCCCCCCTCACCTCCTATCTTATCCAAAATCTATCCGAGACCAGTATAGATTGGAAAAGAAACCCCCCAAGAAACGGTCTCCCAAAATATTTGGGGCCTGTATAGATTATTTTAAGTTTAGCTAAAAGGGAAGGGGGGGGGGGGTGGGAAAACACATGGATACACCTTTAAAGGAAAAACTTTTGGGTACTAACCCCCACTACCTTTCCAATGCTCTGGGGGTTACTTGATGTAGCTGGGTCACTCGTAACCTATCTAAATTTAAAAACATAAACCCCTACTGGCCAGTCAAAAAGGGTTTCTATAAAATAAAGGGGGAAAATTTAAATGTGGGTTTTTTGGGGTATTTCCCCATTTCTTGATTCACCAATCTCATTTTTGATTCCCGCTACACCGACACGATTCCCTTTTCCCGCAGGACGAGGTATTTCCCCTTTTGGTTTTTTCCTGCTTTAGACATCGGACTCAAGGGGTTTTTCCCCTTTTCCTCGTCTCGTTTAAAAACGAGGTCTAGCGTGTTCACTTTGGGGCAAAAAACCCTTTTTTCACTTTACATTTTCCTTAAAATTGCGTTATTATCATTAAATTTCATTACAATTCACAAAACGATTTAACTCCATAAATATTATAAAAAACTTGAGGGCACTCCATTAAGGGTCTAGACCGATAGTGATGAATTAAACCAAGGGTAATTTTCCCCCCGGACAAAAGTCCATTGGGCGCTCAGTCACCCCCCCCCTCTTATCACACTTTTAAACCCCTCTATTACTGTGGTCCCCCTTAAAACCCGTTCCCTCACTCTCCACCAGGAAATTTAAAAGACACTTCTTTTTATGAAAAAGAGGCCTTATTAATCCCTTTGGCCACCTGAACGTCAATTTCCCTGGTTTCCCTGTTTTTTTCAGCTTTCCCCACCACCATTTAAAACAATACCGCCCCCCCCCCCCGCACATCCGCGCATGCCAAAGGGAACTCCCTTTGGGTTCCCCCTTATTTTTAAAAAACATTTTGACCCATATAGACACATTAAACACCTATTACAAAATATAGTTTTTTGG